CCTCACTTCTTCAGATGCAAGTGAAGAAGTGAGGTTCTTACCCACGAAAGCTTATGCTCCCAATACTTCTGTTAGTCTTAAAGGTGCCACAGGACCCTCTGTTGCTTTTTCCTGGGAACTGTTAACTTATGCATGTTCAAAAGATGATCAAGAATAAATTAAGATGCATAATTCACTGTCCTTTTAGGGAATACCTGGAAGAGGATTGGTTAGTGTCTAGGAATGTTCTGATCTCCAGGGTTTTTACAATAAAAGAGAAAGTGGATAAAAAACTTTTCCAGACACAGCCACCCGACTGAGCACAAACCTGCCTTCCCAGCTGACTGTTACTACATATGTTTACAGAATTATCTATATTACATGCACATTTACAACCCTTTTTTGAATTATGAGGCCTGAGAGTAACTACTAACTAGCTCTGTCTGGGGATTATTACAACAAAAGATTGGGGATTTTTTTAAAAAAAACTAACAAATCCCTGATACAATGAGAGCTTGTCAGAAGGTGATGAGCGCCCTCAACTTGCATTGAAGTTAATGATATTAGAGAGGCACTCAGCATCTTGCAGGATTGGTTCCAGAAAACTGTTTCATCAGTTACACAGCCCAACTGACACATTAAAAACATGTCTCCTCTAACCACATTATATTACTCTGTTTTAACATTTTTAGTTTTCTACTGCAGTCCTTATTTGATGCAAAACTTTGACTTCAGTGAGTTTTACCTGTAGAAGGACTGCAACAGTAGACCTTTGATTCACAACCTAAAGGGGAAGTATAATTAAAAGAAAATACAAGCTTTTTACCTGTACCATGTTTCTGAATTATATTAAAGTTGACCTCTCTTCTGTAATATGGTTGAAGTCTTCTTGTGATCAGATCAGTGAGCTCTTTTTGAACTTGCCAAAGGAAATTATCAGGGTAACATTGGTGATAAATGAAGACTGAATTTTATGGAGCAACACAACATTTTGTAGAATTATGTCATAAAGGAAACAAGCAGTCTTATCCCTGAAGAGTCAGTGCCAGATTGATTCCTGCATGGTAGCTGGAGTCAATGTAACTAGCCATCTCGACAAGTAAACTTGTGAATCCCAACTTATTTTCTGTCTTCTGACCAAATTTTCTAGAAGTGTCATCCGTAACAACTTTCACTGACCTTCACATATGCATTCTGTCTGGTTCCAGGCACTTTTAAAAAATCTTGGGTCATCAGTGTCACTCGGACAGCTACAATACTTTGTGGGAAAGTGGCATACTTTCTGTAGTAATTTTGGAGTTACAGATATACTGATATATAGGTTTGTCATTTAAAACATATACACACGCATATGCATGCACACATACCGTGTATGGCTATTTATGCTTTATCTTAATTTACTTTGTCTAAAACTATTTTTTCTATCTTTTTTTATATCAACTCCTCCAAGCACTTTCTCCAGCTTCAAAATCAAAGTATTTTCTTTCAGTAGTTCTTTACCTTCATTTTCATGTAACGAAAGTGGAACTCTTACACTTTAAGGTCAGGAGGGACCATCATAATCGTGTAGTCTGACCTTTTTGGCAGATAACCTATTTTATTGGCCATCTTTCTCTAAGATTATCCATCTCTCAGTTGTTTTGTCAATTAAGAGAAACTGCTTTGTAGACTTTTAGGGACCTTTACCCCATTCCATACCACCCAAAACAAAAGAAGGTGTATCCTTTTGATTTAATGTAATTCAGTTTCAATGACTTTAACCATTTTCTAGTAAAGATGGGTGGGTGTGTATTTATCATTGGGCTGTAGTTACTCTTTGGTATGACTTTTGATATGACTGACTTCGAGTGGTCCTCTTTTAGTCCAGAGACAGATGGCTGTATAGCTCTGCTCCCATGCTTCTGGAAGCAGGAATATGCAAATTAATCTCTCCAGCCACCAACCCTGGCCCTTGGGCCAGTTATACCAGTATAGTTAAACCAATATGTAATACTAGTATAATTATCCATATGGAGACTTATTCAAAAGAATGGCTTTTTTGGTTTAGTATAAACTCCTTGTGAGGCGACATAAGCTAAACTTAAAAATCAAAAAAAAAAAAAAAAAAAAAATACCACTCATACCAGAATAAGCATCCACTCGGGGAATTATACTGGTATAGCTATCAGTTTAAATTTGCACTTTAGCTCATAGCAGTATAACTTTCCTTTACATATACAAGCTTTTTCATATATCTCCAAGTCTTCCTCTAGCCTGAGGAAGAGTCGTATTGCTTGGGACAATGGCTTCTTTAGCTTCACTCTTCCCCAGGAACAGTCTCTGTTGCATTGACCTTTCCCAACCACTGTCTGGTTGGTTTGAAGCATGAGTTCACTAACATGGCATTTGGCAAGCTGCCAACGGTTGGAGCCTGTGTGCATTGGTTCCATAATTAGGCCTGATGTGTTGCCACTCAAAGCCAGTTCCTCTAGTTGTCCTTTCAGCCCGCAGGAGCTCTTCCAGCAGGAACCCTTCCAGGATCCTGTGCTCGGGTCCATGTAGCATTATGGAGTCTGACAGAACCAGAAACTACATGGATGGGAGGGAATCACATCAGCAGGTCTGTAGGGTCAGTCAGAAGATGCAACAACTGCTTTCTCTCGCCCTCAAACCATCTACCTCAGAATCTGTTTGTGAGACTTACTGTTCCCTACAACCCTTACCACATCTAGTTCCTCAGATCCAGCTGACCTTCCCTTACTAGTCCTCTTTTGGTTGTGCTTTCAGACAGCCCGCAGAACTCTGCAACCCCCCCTCTTGGTGACCCTTTTACTATCTCTAATTGGAAATCAGATCACAGCATTAATTCTTACATGTTTGCTAGCCCTAAAGTTTTGTGGTCCTTTCTAGCTATTCCTTAGGACCATCCTCCACTCCCTTGTCAGCGCCTGCTTTGCCCTTTAAATTTTTCCTCCCACTCAATTTTGCACGATTACTTGCAGTTTTGAGAAATTGGCTCTTTTAAAGCACTAAGTATATTACTGGTTGGTATCATATTATGTTTGTACATAAAGAAAATGGTCATGATCACTTGCATCTAGCCAACCATCCGTTTTTAGTTGAGCGATCAATTCATCTTCATCTGTCAGAATGAGGTCTAATATAGAATTACCCCACTTTGGTTGCAATAGTTTTTGTCTTAGAAAGTTCTCTATGATTTTTAGACCTCCAAGGTTGTTTTGTAGCGGGAAACAATTTGCCTATTAATAAAAAAGTTTAAATGTGTTCTTCCCTTAGTTTATTTATAATTATACTTCATACAGTTGCATCTTTTGTACAAATAATAAAGTATCATTAATGTGACAGCATGATAATCCTTTCACCCACCTTCATTGCTAGAGCAATGCTTTGATACTTTAGGATGGGTGCAAATGCCCTTCTCTGAATGACAGCTTGGGCCCAATGTTAGGTGGAATGCAAATATTTAGTTTACTACCCTGGCATTAACACAGCCTGCACTTAAGTGCTTCAAATTGTTTAAT